ATGTTAAAGCTTTTCTTGTTTTTCCTGCAGTATGGTGGCGCGTCCCATTTCTTAACCCCAGCAGGCGGTTGTTTTCCTGCACATTATGTTCAGGGGTTTTAACTAAAAGTTTAGGTCTTGTTCTTTAAATGATGATGAGTAAAAAATGAATTCTGGCAGTCTGGATTTCCGCTGAAATGATTAACGTGTTCATATCTCTAAACATCAAAATGATCATCATTTTAAAGCAGTAGTAACATATTTAATTTGACATTTTTCCCACCATGTAGAGATGTTTACCATATTTTCTTTCTTTCTTTTTTTTAATAAATAGAAAGTTTTCTTTCTTACTACTGTTTCCTTTCGAGCTGCATCGATGAAGGGATGGATTTTAAGTCACTTTTTAAAGCTGAACGTTTACTGTAGTGCTGCTAATTTGGGAAACTTGATCATTTTCTTTTGATAACAAGACGGTGCTCATTCTCCTTTAAAAACTAACAAAATATAAATAAAAGTTTAGCTTGTATTTTTAAAGATCTTCAGAAATATCTCCTGTGTCGGCTGCATCACGGCCATGTAATGATTTTCTCTTATATTTCACAATGTGCCAAAAATTAAACTAAGCACTATACAGCACTCAACTAGTTCTCATATATTTCAGTTATTTATAGTTAAATTAAGATGTTATATGGAAAACATGGATGTATATGTCCGCTGAGGACTCTAAATTTTAATTCTGCATAAATATCAGTATGGTCGGTTGTTACTGGAGCGGTCTTGTGTCATATTTTCACACATGTAAATACTGAAAATAAAAACGGGATGTATTTTTGTATCATTTTAAGGAGTTGATTTTTGCTGGAAGTTTACACTTTGTAAATAAAAGTTCTTTTTCTATTACATTTACCTTTGGTTTCAATCCTTTTTGCATTTTATACGCTGACTTCTAATAAAGCTTTAGCACTTTTTGTTTTGTCTTTTTTACAGTAGTTTTTCTCGGGCTAGCTTAACAGACTCATTGGACTGTAACTGCTCATATTCAAACCATTAATTTGAAAATGATGTGGTTGTTGTTGTTATTTTGTGTTACACACTTTAGTTGTTGTGGTTGTTATGTGTTGATATACATTTGGTGTATTAAGTTAGCTCATGTATCTTGTCAACCTACCATCGGCTTTTTTGCCCTAATAAGAAAAAACTGTAAATAAGTGAACATGTGATGCCACTCATTGGTTACTAAAGTCCTGTTTGAAGCCTCGCGTTCAATGTTTTCGTTGTCGCCATTTTGGTGTTTTGAAACTAGATGTGAAAAGTGAGGCTTTGATGTGACTGAAGCCAAGGACTTTGCACGCTCATTGGATGATAACTTGTGATTAACAAGTTGTTGTCCAATGAGCATCACCTGGACAATCCTGCTTTCAGGCTGGAGGAGTGAGTGTAATTTACAAAATGAACTTTTGTCTTTTTTGGTGATCTGAAACAAGCTATAGAGATCACAAAGTTATTAGTAAAGTGTTCACAAAGGTTCCAGAGAAAGAGAGCCGGGGGACGTTTCTAGCACCCAGACCCAGAGCCCATGTTTCTAACTGAACACTTTTTTGCTACTTCTGTCCACTAATTGTGAATTACAACTGGAAAAATCATTCTCTTCCTTTTCCCTGCATGATTCAAGGATTTGAAGCGGAAAATAAACCTTCCTCATCACCCAGTGTATGTGCAGAGATGCACTCAGGCCAGCAAAACACTGCTGTTCCCTCTGAGCCTCATAATTGGCGTTACAGCAGATTGTTAGCCCTACATCTGTTTACAGCTTCATAATTTTGCCTCCCAGCCCACCCCCTGTGGAAGAAACTTACAGCCTGCATTCAGAGTAGCTGTTAAAATGTTGCATACAGCAAGATTGCATAACTGTGCTGCAAAAGGAAAAACACTGATATATGGTCATAAACAAGACAGACGTGGCTGAATTCATGCTATATTCTAGTTGTTCTCAAGTTTATTTGAGGTGTTCTTATTAGACTTGTAGGCGATTTTTAAAAATTATTGTATTCTTTAATTGTTCTTTTCATTGATTCTGAATTGCTTTTTACTGCATATTTTTATGTTGTGCTGTTTGTTCTGCACTAATCTGCATGAAAAGTGTTATACAACATTTGGTTGACAGTAATTTATTGCCCTTCCTACTGTTCATCATCTACAGTAACAGACTGTTTTTGCAGATAACAGTAGGTCCACAGTAAAATAACTTTTAAAATAACTCTTTAATCTGACTGCCAGTACTTTACTGTCCAGGATGTTCATTAAGTAGTACACACAGTGTACACTGTTTACTGCAGCTTGGAATATGTTCTCAGACTATTTTAATGTTTGTTTTTGCCCATATATAATAGAAGATGTCATTGTTGCCCTGTTATTTGGTCCTTGGAGAAATAATCATATAAATTAGGATCCCGCTGTTTGTCCTCCTGGTGGGAAACAGTTGTTTTTTTCTCTACAGTCTTGCCTCTTTGGCTGTTAATGGAAGTGGTTGTGTAATTGTTTTTGACGCAGAGTGTGCCTCTGCATAACAGGCCCCACATCTTTCCACATTAGCGTGAGTGCGATGGTGACAAATGGCTGTATCGTTTACCTCGGTTCACTGTGTGCTCAGGATGCAGAGCTTTTGGTATTCTGAGCGTCACTCCGCACTGCAGCAAGACACTCGGCTGGATCTCAGCAGGCTTCAAGGGCTCCTCTCTGCAGCCTATTGCAGAGTCGACAGGGGTCGGGTTTCAAAACTTGCCCGTTTACAGAGAGTAACATTATAATCAGGAAAATTATACAAAGTGGAGTTGGTATTGAAAACACTATTATAGCTATTTTATTAGACGGTAAACCTACCCAGGTTATTGACCCTGGGCAATAACCTGGGTAGGTTTACTTTTTTAAGCTCAGTTTACTTTTTTTAAGCTCAGGCTGTCAGAAGCAGAAACATATACAAAAATCACAATTGATCTTACTCAATTATTTATAATTTGTGCAGTGAAATTAGATCAAAAATGTTTTTGGTGATTTCTGCAGCATTTATGAGCAAGCTTCTGTCAACAGCTGACTTCTGTGAGTCTTCTCCGATGCTGCTGATGCACAAAAGTTTGTGTCCATCAGATTTCTTAGCAGCATATTGTGGCAGGTGTCTTTGGAGTTGTTTGAGTTTTGGCCACTAGATGTCAGCAGCAGAGTGCTTGTTAACAAATGAGGTGGATGGCAGGTGAATAAACACAGTTTTGGTTGGTTGAGAGGTGCAAGATGATGACGATGATGGATTCAGAGGTTTATGTGGATTTTTGCTTGAAAATCATCTTGAATTCATTACTAAAAACTGACTTAGAGCTGAGGTGTGTGTGATATATGAGATATGAGATGTTGCTCTCACAAGTCTGTGAGAGAGCTGCAGCACTGCTGGTACAACCAAAGTCTTTCAAGAAGCAAAAGTCACTATCTTAAAATGCTGTATTTTGAGCACTACCAAAATGATTTAATATCCTTAATATCAGTAGCATTTTTGTCATAAAACTGCATGTATAGAATTGTTAACACTGATTTAAAAGCAGCTTAAAATGCTTGTTAACTTTGTGCCAAAGTAAGGTTTTGAAAAGCTTATAAAAGGTTTTCTGTATCTTTTTTTCTGTTCAGGATTCTTTGAGTCTCTGGTTCAACTTTGACTGGAAAAGGTATTTAAAACCTAATTTTAGGTCAGCGAAATCTGAGGCTTTTTTTTTAGGACAGATTTGATTGTAGTTTGTAGTGTTTGTTCAGTGATTAAAGTTAATACAGACAAAGTTTCAAAATAACTGCCCGGAATTTCAAGATTGTTGCACAGTTGAGGTTCTGAATGTCCCTCAGTGGAACAGATGCTCACAGACCAACAACATGCAGCATGATGGAGAGGACTGGAACTGGCAGGTCTGCTACTGGCGCACCTGTCTCCTCTCTAAATGATGCTGGGACCTCATTCTCACAGATGATCGAGTCTTCTCTTATTTATTTATTTTTAAACAGTGCATAACCTGATAATTACTGCCTTAAACAACTATTCTATTTACCAAAATGGGTTGATTCACTGAGTGTTAACATGGATGTGAAGTTCAAGAAGTGTGAATGCTTTGACTGTGTGTGGCATCCATGAGGGTAGCTCCCTTCCATCCCTCCTGTCTCCTCAGCTCACCTGAACAATACGGCAGATTTCTGGAAACTTACCTGTAGCCAAAAGGCTTTGAAACGTGTGTGGGTTGCAGCAGTCCTAAAATCAAATCTTTTGCTCTGAAAACACCGCACAGGTTGCAAAGGGACTTTTGGGGTTGATGTGATTTGTGGTCCTGGACAGTAAAAGGTTTCACACATGACCCCCAGGAAGGACAAATCAAAAACCCAGGGCCAACCAGAGACCCAATCTGACCTCACTTTTTCATAACATTGAGAAAAGCTCTGCTGGCTTCTCATCTCTACAGTTTGATCCCTGTGACAGTGTTTTTGTGCTCACACACAAACATTACATCACATTAAGCTGAGTGAGGTGAACCTCCCCTGCCTTCCAATCCCTGAGCTGCTGCTGAAAAATGAAGGATTATTTCTCTAAATCTGCTGCCTCCATGTGCTTGTCTGAAACACACGCACATCTGCAGTGGAACGTAAGCAGATTATTCTATCAAAAGGCTGTGTAGCACAGAAGTGTACGACGGTGTGCACAGGAGTGTCATTTAAAGAGGAAGAACACACTGTAGTTTCCCTCTGTTTGTCTTCTTTCTGTTGTTCTCCCTGAAAGTTTAAGGAGAGTTTGCTGCGAGTGCATTTAGCTTTGAACTTCACACCAGAGATCAGATTTTTAGGGCTGGGCTGCTGAACAGTGCTAAAACAGAAGAGGAGAAAGTGCAGATTTTGTTGTTTTCTTGCCTTACCCGCACTTTCCTCATGAACACTGCATCACATTGGTCCCGAGCTTTTTGCTTTTCAAGATTGCTGGAGGGCTTTGTGCTTTGCTGGATTTTGTGAAACATGTTCTCTGAGATAATTATGAATCATAATTGTTCCATACATTTAGCACTGAGTCAGCCAATGGACCAGTCTACCGTTCAGTCAGATAGACATGCTTGTGTGATTGAGCATGCTTACTTTTAAGATTAACCCTGTTCATTCAACAGGAAGTCCAACAATCACTCATCACAACCAACGTATGCAGAGAAGCAACTCTGAACACACAGCACGTCAAACCAGAACAGAATACCAGGACAGGTGCCACTCCTGTTAGCTAACTGGAAACTCAGACTAAAAGTCACGTGGGTGCACCAAAACTGTACAGTAGAAGACTGGAAAAACATCTGATCTGGTGAGTCCTGATTTCTGCTGCGACTTTTAAATGGCAGGATCAGAATATGGTGTAAACATTATAAAAGCATGGAACCATCCTGCCTCCTGTTAGCTGCTGGGCTGGTTTGTAGACATATTCTTGGTACACTTTGGCTCCCTTTGTACAAACACCACAGCCTACCTGATTATTGTTGCTGACCATGTCCATCTCTTTATTACCACAGTTTACACAGATTCTCATCATGGATGTGCAGCCGGCAAATCTGCAGCAACAGTGTGACGCTATCACATCAATATGGACCAAATTCTCTGAGGAATATTTCCAGAAACTTGTTGGACCTGTGCCATGAAGAATTGAGGAACCACAAAGAAGGTGTACCTCATGAAGTGGATGATGAGCGTATGAAGCCAAAAATGCTTGTACTAAACTCATTTGACAAGTATGCTCCATGTTTGTGCTTCTTCAACATGTGGATAAAACCAGCTTAAACAGGTGGTTGTCCAACACA